CAATCAAACCATTAGCCATTAACATTTGACGGAGATATTGACATGACAGTTAACAAAATGACATAATTATACATTCGATCCTTATTATTTATATATTCTATTAATTTAGTCCTATTTGGAGGGTTAATTCTTTGAATTAAATTTAAATTAGGACTAAATTAATAAAATATGCAAGTAATGGGAATCAAATATAAATTATGCAAATTTTGTTAACTGCAAAGTCGACATCTCCGTCAAATGTTGATGACTAGTTGCTTGATTGACACGATTAAATAGATAGGTAATCTAATTGACAAAATTTTAAAATTAATGGTCAAAATGAAAAGGGACAATATTTAAGTGGTTATATAAATAGTTTACCCTAAATTTATTGTCAATGTATGATAATCAGACCAATTGAACTCGGTTAAACAAATCCTTTATCATCAAAATATGTAGAATATTTTTTTTAAAAAAATTATCACAACAAAAGTAGTATTGCATTTGTTTAAAAACTCCATATGGTACACAAAAAATGAGAAAATAAGACTTATTAAACAAACAGTAAGAGTGATTTTCCCAAATTATTAAACTTGCAGATTGCAGCTTTCTAGTTCATATCTGGACTTAAAGCTGATAAAGCTGAGGACTAAGACACGGTTTAAGGAGGCTTACAGCTTAACTATCTAAAGTACTCTCCAGTAGAGTCGTCAAGTTCGTAACATATTTTTTGACGAAACTAATAAATTTTCGATGAAAACTTCGAATTTACGACTTATTTGAAAAAATTAAATTTTTGTACTTATTTTGATTAAATTGATTTGGGATTCACCATCGACCTTTGGACTAAGTAGGCCGAATACTTAAAGACGTCCTTTAAAAATATTTTAAGGAAAAATCGTTTTTAAGACAAAAATTGGTCTGTGTTTACCAAAAACTTGACTTAACGGGTCCGAGAGTTAGTTACGAGTGGGGAAGAAAAATCACCACCACTGCGCCCAAAATTGGTACCAAATTGCTTATACATTGTCGATGAAATAAAATTAGGAAATCGAATATAAAGTTAGAATATAATTCATTTATTAAGGTTTAATTAATTTACTTCGAGTTATTCATTAGGGGAATCCTTTGATTCGAAAAGAAATATCGAGATTCACAGTCCTCCGACAAGAAGGTTATCTCTTCTATTTCTTGTCTACAAAAGAATGCACCCTCTTTGATTTAAAATCAAAAATCGAATAGTAATCGGATATCAATAAATATACAAATAATTTACTGTTTTAGAAACACACATACCAACATTTAAATCAGAGTCAAAGAAACATATTAATTAACTTTACTTATAAAATACTAGATTTATTTTAAGTTCATATTTTGTTAGAATGTCACTTTGAATTGCACTACTTCTTTAAAGTAGTGTTTTCGTGCCCATTCTACTACCAATGATCTTGAAAATACTCAAGTAGACTACCAAAAATATCAATATCATATATAAGAGATAAGCAATGAATTGATAAAAGGATCATCCATAACAAAATAAATAAGATAGAATATAAACATAAAAAAGAAAAGCATATAAATATATAGGGTTAAAAATTATTAATTAAATATAAATATATAATTTTTCATATCCTAATGTGTATAGTAACAATAAATTATTTAGCATTATATACATTGTAAAATAAAAAATAAAAAAAAATAAAAGTTACCAAAACAAAATTATGTAATTGATTAAGCTGTTTTTGTTATTATATCTTTTAAAATAATGATTAAAACTAAATAAAAATACTAAAACATAAAAGTGTTAATCAATAAAATCTAAATATATAATAATCCATGCAATTTCGTATTCAGAAACAAAAACAATGTCTAAACTAAAACACCTAGAAAATTTAAAGGCTCTTAAAGCAAGAATAAGGTATACATTTTAATGTACTAGGAAAATAGAGGGTAAAAATGAATAAAAATGTAAATTATTGGCCAAATAGAAGATTAAATCAAATCATATATCAACAAGCATACATGGACTTAAATGTGTTAAATCAAGAGTTAACATGCATAACAAGTATTTATCCCCGAAAAAACAGCATCAACAAATAGTGACTAAAACGTAATATTAGAAAACTACATGCCAAAATCGAAGGTTTTAACTTCATTCAATGACCAAATTACAAGATATTGAAACCAAAAGAACTCAACGAGACATTAACCCGGACACCAAAAATGCTCTCTGACCCTACTTGCAAAATGTCATCGTTTTATGCAATAGATATATACTCAAAACCAAAGCTTTTCTGGCCATCATCCTCATTTCTTCTTTGGCCTAAAGGGAAAAATCTCTAGGTTCTCTGCTTTCTCTCCCTCTCCTGTTTCTTCACCGAGAGTAAGGGAATAAACTCGGCCGTCGTAAATCGACGACGACGATGGCAAAAACACAACCAAACCCCCATTCAGTCTCACTCTACCTTTCTAAGGTCCCGAAACTTTACATTTTAACCCCAAAAAACCTAAAAGTAAACAACCTCCTCACACTAAAACCCAAAAAAATCAAGACCCCAAAACTAGATCCAGAAAAGACGAGACCTTTACCTTTGGTGATGAGGGCTCCTTGGTCCGATGAAGTGACGGTCCATAATTTCTTTATCATGTAAGGACTATTATTTCCTTTCTCTTTTCTAGTATGCTTTTTTATCTCTACTGCTTTTTTTTTCTCTCTGTTCGATTTGGTTACCCGAAAATCCCCCTCTGCTTTTGGTTCGAAAATCTCTCCGTCTATTTACCACCATTTTCGGATGAGATATCATATCTTCTCATAGGGGAATGATACTGGATTAACGGGATTTTGTGATTTGTTTATTGGGTTGTTAGATCTGATTTATTTTTTTTACTGATTTGGTGTACTTTGCCAACTGTTCGACTGGATTTGCTGACGACGACGATTCGAAAGATCATCGATGGCGGCTCACGCGACTGAGGAGATGAGCCGTGAAGCTCACGCGCCGGTTGGGTGACCGATCTTTTTGCTGGATTAAAACCCTAACTTTTGGGCAATTTGAATTATTGAATTGGTCCAGATCTAACGGGTGAGAATGAGAGGTGCCTAGATGAAATCCCAAATGGGTTTGGGTCGACTGTAACGGCGTCTTAACCGAGTGATCAATTGCAGCGGGCTTGTTTCCTGGTGGGATGGTAGCTAATTAGGCTTGGGTGCTGTTGCAATTGGGTCCTTGCAATTTGGGTCTCGATATTTGGGCCTAAAAAAATGTAAATTAATAATAATAATAATAATAATAATAATAATAAATGATAATAATAAATAATAATAAAAACAAATAGGACGAAAACATGGGTCAACAATATATAATATATGATGTGAACATATTAAATATGGGTGGATGTAATAAACTTTTTAGAAGTGTAAGTGCGAGAATGAGAAAAAAATGAGTTAATTTCACCCATATGTTCTTAAACTATGATCCTTATTTTCAATTGAACCTTAAACTTTTAAAAATTCTAATTTTATCCTCAATCTATGCTTTCATTTTAAATTAGTCTTTGAACTTTTGAACATAACAAATTCATCCTCAAACTTTAACCCTCATTTATATTGATACGCATTTTTTTTGGCAAAATTAGGTCAATAATGCAGTCGGAATAATTATTTACTAAAATAAGGCACCTTCAAATTTATTTTACGATTTAGGTCATTTGTTACAATGTTCGTGAAACTTGTCACGCCCACGTGACTAGTTTCATAAAATATATTAAAAATTAGAATTTGTCATATAATATGGAACAAAATTGTATGGAACTAGTCACGTTTCTTTGACGGGTTTTAATTTTTCATATATTTTATAGAACTCGTCACGTCCACGTGCCGAGTTTCACGTGCACTATAACAAATGACTTAGATCCAAAATAATTTTTAACCATCCTAATTTAAAAAAAAAAAATCATATGCATTATTTCCCTCGTTTTGCCCGATTTTTATTTGAGAAAAGTGTATTAAGATTTATACTTTCGTTTTTAAATTTATGAATCTATTACTAATTATAAATATTAATATGTTATAACTAATTAATAATATTTAAGTCAACTATTCATAATATAATTATAAATAATATATATTACACAAGTAAAAGTTATTATTAAAAACTAATCATAAATAATTGATAAGAGAAGATAATAATACATCGATATATGGAGGCTGTGAATATAATGCAACGTGTGTAGATGAGAATATAACGTCGGCACTTTATATTATTATTTTCATCTTATTGACTTAGCACACTATGACGTCTTTATTTTATTTATTTTTACTTTGTTTTCTTATTGACTTAGCACACAATGATATCTTTATTTTCCCTTTTTCTATGTTTGGTTTTGGCAGTACACATAGTTTTCCATTACATGTCGTTTTCTTTATACTTATTTTTTTTTCATTTAAGAAGCACGAATCTGATCGTTTTGTTTGTGAAATAAATTTATGGCTAAACTATTCGTATGACACTTACTTATCGTCTTTTTCTATTTTGCCCGATTTTAAAATGTTGTCAATCAGATTATCTAACTATTTAATTATATCAATCAAATCATTAGCCATTAACATTTGATGAAAATATTGACGTGACAATTAATAATATTAATACAATTATACATTTAATCCTTATTATTTACATATTCTATCAATTTAGTCTTAATTAGAGGGTTAATTCTTTGAATTAAATTAAAATTAAGACTAAATTAATAAAATATATAATAATTATGAAAATTTTGTTAACTGCGAAGTCAACATCTCCGTCAAATGATGATGGCTAGTGGCTTGATTGACACAATTAAATAGATAGGTAATCTAATTGACAAAATTTTAAAATTAGTGGTCAAAATGAGAAGGGACAATATTTAAATGGTGATATGAATAGTTTACCCTAAATTTATTGTCAATGGATATGATAACCAGACCAGTTGAACTCGGTTAAACAAATCCTTTATCATCAAAATATGTAGAATATTTTTAAATAAATTATCACAACAAAAGTAGTATTGCATTTGTTTAAAAACTCCATATGGTACACAGAAAATGAGAAAATAAGACTTATTAAACAAACAGTAAGAGTGATTTTCCCAAATTATTAAACTTGCAGATTGCAGCTTTCTAGTTCATAGCTCGACTTAAAGCTGATAAAGCTGAGGACTAAGACACGGTTTAAGGAGAACTTGAAGTGGCGTTGCTTTCACATTTGCCAAGCTAGCGCTCTCGGTCATATCCACCGGTTGGCCACCAGGTGTTTCAATGTCAAAGCAGTGCAGCACGCTAGCCAATGATAAATGAATAACTTGGAGAGCCAGTGAGACGCCTGAGCAGGCCCGGCGTCCTGCCCCAAAAGCAAGGAGTTCAAAATTCTGACCTCTTAAATCAAAGTCTTTATGTGTAGTCAAAAACCTCTCGGGCTTGAACTCATCGGGGTCGGTCCAAACACGTTCGTCGTGTTGGATTTGCCAAGCATTTAACAGCAACCGGGTGCCTGGGGTCGCATGGTAACCATTCGACAGGGTGCACTCTTCCATGGCTGCTCGAAGGGCCAGAATAGGGCTCGGTGGGTATAGACGAAGTGTTTCCTTGACAATTGCTTGGAGGTAAACCAGGTTCTTGATATCAGACTCCTCCACATGCCTGTCTTTTCCAACGTGGATGGCCAATTCTTCTTTGGCCCTCTTCAAGGCATGCCGATTGTTTAGAAGTAAAGCTAAACCCCAGATAAGTGGAACCATGTTTGAGTCTGCTGCACCTAGAATCAAATTCTGCCCCCCAAAAAAAGAGAACCTGTTATAAATTACTGTTTAATTAAGAAATAATAGTGGTTTAAGATGGTTTACCAGGCAAGTTGCTTTGGTGATAGTATCTGCATCGACATCAAAGCCATTAAGCTTTGCATCTTCGGTGATAGTTAGCATCACATCCATGAAATCTTCATCTTCCTTCCGGTCACCAGTGGACGATCTCTTGTGTTTATGCTCGTCAAGCCAGGTTTGGACGAAAACGTCCAATTCTTTTGCTACTCTTTTCATGGATTTCTTATGTCCACCGAGGTCTAACCACCAGAAAAAAGGGATGGCATCGGACAAGACGAACGTCCCAAACAGGTGAAAGTATTCCTTGATCGATTTCTGGCATTGACGTGCCTCTCCTTCATTGGAATTAGCGGTGTCGCCGTAGTATCTCTTCCCCACCACGATTCTGAACGCCAGGTTATGAGTTAAATCCGCAAACCACTGCTTCATGTCCACCATAACACCGTCTTGCTCTCCGCTACGTTTCGTCATCCAAGTGTTGTATAAGTCTTTGATCCCGATCAGCACCTCCGAGGCTCGTGTCTGCTTGAAGTTGGACATGTCGAGCCGGTGGTTCGAGAGAAGCTCGAGGGTGGTTATCTTGCGAATCTCACGCCAGTAATCCCCATAAGGAGCAAACCCGAACATGGCGTAGTTATAACCAAGTAGCTTCGAGGCAGATAAACTTGGCCTGGTAGCGAATGCCTTATCATGGACCGTCAAAAGCTCTTTCGCCATTTCCATGTTCCCCACCACCAAAGCTTTATGGGATCCGAGTCTAATACTAAACACCGGTCCATACTTTTTAGATAACCCAAAAAGTGTCCTATAAAGGATGTCCTTGCTGCTAAAGAGATGCAGGTGCCCGATAACTGGCCAAGCGCCTCCCGCTTCTGGCACTCCGCCGTTCTTTCGACTCTGACTGATAAATTTATATATCAACAGGGCGGTGACAAGGGTGGCAACCAGAATAGATGGCCAGTACTGAAAAAGAGTATCCATATATGAACCACTGCTACTGAAAATAAAAGATCGGTGGATGCTTGCTTTCCATAATTACCGATGCATTTATACACCTTGTCGACTACATCAGTTTGATTAAACACTGTTATTTTATTCGGTTCAGTCAACTTTATCTACTTTTGAATTTTCTTCATGTTTGAATCTTTTACTCTGTTCCACTTTGGTGTCTATATATTTTATGGGAATATTAACTAATACCTTAAAATATATTTCTCAATTATTTTTTATTATACATTAAAATTGTTTATAATATACATATTGGTCGAAACCATAATTTCCTTTTCATGAGGTGTGTTTTATTCTCGTGGATAAGAATTGAATCTTTAATTATATAATTAAGAGATGTGAGTAATGACCACCTCATTTTTAAAATTATAATTTTAATGAAAGAAACGACTTCTCAACTAATGAAAACAAAAAGGAAAAATATGAAATTTAAAATAAAAATAAAAATCTGATGGTTATATAAATATTTTATATTTTTCAGGAGAAGGAAAAAAAATCCCACTTGCGTATAGTGTTTTTTTAGTAACTAACACCGCCTTCTCAACTTTTCTTTTAATAATAATCACACCCAGAAAAGCTTACAATCCGTTGGTATATATAAAAAGAAAAAGGTAATTAATTAAATAGTCAATTTAAGTCTTATTTTTTATCGGATGATTTTAGCTTTTTATGAATTCATTTTATGACAATTTATCCGTAAATATAAATCATTAGTTGATAAAGATTTTTTTGTGTTAAAATAAAGATTTTTTATCCTAAAATAAAACGTTGAAGTCAAAATATTCCAAAAATAAAGATAAAACGTTAAGAGTCAAAATACTATTTAAACAAAATTATTATTAAGTATTTAATCTAAATTATTATTCAAACAATCGTTAGGAACATTTTTTTTATCATTATACTACTATATCATCTAAATATTTCGGAAACTGCAATAATTTATGATCTTAAAATCAAGCGCAGGTTTTAAGATAAAAGCAAAGTGGTACTGGGACCCAAAATGTTGCAAAGCCCATATTAACCTACTAATACAAAAGAAAGCCAACCGTGGCTTGAATGCAGCAAAGAGGAAGAATAGGAAACCACCTCAGTTAATTTACTACCAGATATAAGCCCCAAGCAACAAAAATTGTGCCAATAAAATCAGCATGATGAACTTAATCCTAGTAGGAACCAAGAGTTAGAGGAAACTGCTTCAAAGTGCTTTGTTTCGAGGCCTCAATCTTCTGGCTACACAGTCTATATTAGTTCCAGAAGTACTATACTTCATATTGGTCTTGGACTCTTTCCGCGATGACGTGTTTTCTGCAGTCTCACCTGATACACTATCGTTTGCTCTTGGCAACCATGGCTTGTCATTATTATTGTCTAGTTCACGACTTCGCTTCGAGCTTGCAACATTACTCTTGAGACCATTTTCAATGGCAGATGCAGGCCTCTTCATTAGCTCTTGTCTACTCTCTGTTGCAGTACAGTTTTCATCTACATTTTCGCCAGCACCATCCAAAACTTCACCATTAACCCCCGTGGTCTCATCATGACTGGTATCTTTTTCATGTTGCCCATGGACATCAAGGTTGATCTCAGTAGCCTCCCCCTCCTCAAACACTGTTTCATTCTTTGAGAATATCAATGTATTTGATTCTGGGTGTGCATTGTATTCTTTTTTCTCACTTGTCAAGCCATCCTCTCCAGTTTGAGGCTTTGGTGTTACAAGCTCATCGACCTCAGATGGCAATTCCGGGACAGGAAAGGACAGAGACCGCTTAGCAGAAACTTGATCGGTATTATCTGGATCATTTCCAATATTGGTTTGCACACGCCGGGTTTGAATGAGATAATGTGCAACCGACTTGAAGCCCAATTTTGTTATCTGGCAGGTGGATAAAGAAGCTTAGACATTAAAAAAAATGTCCGAGTAAGAAGAAGCACAACTGATGGACTTACCTTCTTATAAAGAGGGCCAGTAGGAACCCAACCTTTTGCTTGCCGACACAAACTACAATTGCAAATTCCACGACACACGGGGCAAACCCAATTTGGATTCTCATTGGCTTCAAGAACATGCTCCCCGTACCTACCGGTTCAGAATGAAAATTAACAACAAAACCGCCAATAGAAAGGAATGAATATCTCTCGATCTAAAAGTTTAGAAAGATCTACAAGATAATATTCTAGCTGAAAGCTCGAAAAATCAATATTTAATGACATATGCAAGGATATCTACAACTGCAAGACAAGATGGAGGAAAAAGGTTGAGTTACATCAGCAAAAAATCATACCTCATGTATAAACAATCTCCACAGAACTGCCCTTGGACCATATTGCATTTAACACAGTGAGTACGATGACCAAGCGTTTTCTGCCTGCAGAACAGCATTTTCATGACACGACTTAATGAAATCAATTTAACAGCATAGACTCACGGTACAAAATATTGAGTAATATCAATAAAATATCATTAGAAAACAATGTTTTCCAAAGCAATGTGGATATCTCTTTCATCTGAATGATCATCACAACTAAAATGCTTTCTTAAATTAACAAAGTAACAGTTACAAGCAAAATACAAGTTAAAGCAAGTTAATTAAAGTCTGTTCAACTATATTTCTTAGATGACCATTGAGAACATATAATAGCTCATCGATGAAACTACAGTCATTAAATGTGTAGGATAAAGGTGAAAAAAACTAGAAACTCCAAAATGTGTTTCGTCGAACGTAACTGGCTCATTTTGAATCAGCAAGAAACTAAAACTGCCAACTTTGGCAGCTAAGAAGTGTATAATTGAATCATGTTGTGCAATTATATCATATTCCCATGGCAGATATAATGAAGATGGAATAAGACAGATTCACAGACCGGCATTGATGACAAGTCTTTCCTTTGAAGGAATCATAAATCCGTCTTCCATCATTTCCATATCCATCCACAAAAAGTGTCCAGCTCCTCTGGGTGTTACCCAAAAGCTTCTCATGCTCTTCAGTATACACCTCTGATTTGTTAAGCTTCCGTTCCACATCCTCCAAAATATCATCTTTTTTTGCTAAAACCGATTCCGAATAGGTCACTGGAGTAGTATTTTGCAACCTAAAACAACCACCACCCATAAAAAAATTCATCAAAATATCAATCAGTTCTGAATTTACAATATTATCAAATTTATAAACTTTTCCCCCTTTATCCTGTCTTTCGTAATAAGAAAAAAAATCAACCACTTAACAACTGCTTAAAAAACCCTTCCTTTATTTCTCCTTCATTATTTCCTGGGATTTTTTTTTTGTGTATTCTTCAACTTAGATAAGATGGGTACTACTCGAAAAGTCATATGGATATTAAAAAGATAAGGGAAAAAGAAAAAAAAACACCACCTTGAAGAGCGGCGGAGGGTGGAAGATGGCGGCAAGGGGGAGGACAGAGGGGTAACTGGAGGCTTACTGGAAACACGAGGACGCCCACACCTTGAAGAGTGACGAGAGGTGGAGTTGAGGAGGGAGCTGGAGAGGTCTTTGAGACCAAGCTCCTGCATTCTTTGAAGGTTTTCTTTGATCCGCTCTTCTCTGGACTGCTCATAGAGTGAGATTGGGGTTTTGGTCTCAGTGTGGTTTTGGGGATGATGATAAGGATGTTCAGTGTTGTTTGGAGAGGATGATTCTAGTGCTTGGGTCTCGTTTCCCATGGCTGCCATTACTCTTTGCTTTCTCTCTCTTTCGTCGGTATCTCTTTCCAAGGTCGGCTCGGCTCTCCAACGGTCGAGTTTCTAGCCCATTATGGGAAGTGGGAGACAGATAGACCCAGATTTAGGCCAGTAAATATCTAACAATAAAAAATTGTACTGAAATGAATGACTGAATGTCAAATACTAATATGCATGATTAGTCTTTTTTTAAGTAGTTTTTTAAGGGTAAGTATACACTGTCTTATGATTATTAAAATTCACAAAATAATATTTTAATTATAAGGTGATATGTTTTGTTGAATACTTCAATTATTAAAAGATATAAAATATTTATTTGATTATTCATATGTTCTAAACTTGTTATTTTTTATTAAAAATTAATAGTTATCTAAACTAAACGTTAACATGTTAACTCAGATTTGATAAAATATTATCTCAGAACCGTTCGATTTGTATTTTTTGGATTGACTCTCCATTTATATTATGTCTTTAAGTTAGCACTTAAAACATTACGTCGTTGAACTAGAGCTTGAAAGCAATGATAATGTCATTAGATATCATTAAAATATGATTTTATTATATCTCAATCAGTAAATTAATGTCCAACTCATACGACCGTTACTTTTTAACGAAAAAAGACAAGTTATGAATAGTCAAGTGACAATTTTTTAATTTTTAATAGTCATTAGATTCAACCAAACAACAAATTATAGTCGAGAGACTATTTTGTAACTTTTAATAATTAAAAATCTCAACAAAGCAACCATCTATAATTAGGAGATCATTTGTGTATTTTACCAATTTTTTAAATAATCATCAAATTATGTTAAAATAATTTTTTAGATATTAAATTTTTAAAAGTTATATAATAAATATTAAATTTTATATTTTATTATAAAATATGTTTCGTGTGATTAACGTCATTAAAAGGAAGATGTGTCATATTAAATTAATAAAAATATATATTATATTAAAACTTTTTTTAATATTTTGAAATAATGTTTTAAAAAATATATTTTTTGAATATATTAAAATTTATTATTATTTTTAAATAATATATTATTAAAGGGTGTTTTTTTACAGTGACAACTAGATTTCATTAATAAGAATAATAGAATGAATCAAAATTACAATGCACCCAAATATAGAGAGAAAATAGAGACAATAGTCACAAAAAAACTCATATATAAAACAAAAATATTAAACCTAAAGATACGAAGAAAAACAAAATATTCCATTGAGAATTACATCCAACATCAAAAGAACTTAATAATCTTCATAAAACTCTTTGTCTCTGTTGAACGAGACATTTTACAAAGTGATAAAGGAGTGGTGAACTGTCGTAACCGTCTTTCGGGTGGACCCCGAATTTAGGCTTCGACTTGGATTAAACGAATTGGAGTCGCCACCGATCATTTATTTTAAAACAAATGGGTTGATCGGATACCCTATTTCTTACCTGATCTGCGTCTTTCCAAAGATGTGTCGGATTCGGGAGTCGATTACAGTCAAGGAAGGGTTAGCACCCTTGAACTGCCCTTTCGGTACTACGTAATTTCTAGTTGTCTTAAATTAAGAAAATTGTAATTTAAAATTAAAAGGTAAAAATATGATCCCAATTACTTACCTTAGATAGTTTTAAAGGTGTTCCCTTAAGAAGGTCAAGAAACCATGTTAGATAAAAAGGTAAGAAATAAATAAATAAATTAAAATGAAGAAAAAAAAATAAATTAAATAAAAGATAAGATAAAGAAAGCAAAGATAAAATAGTAAGTAAAATAAAAAAATATAAAAAAATAAAGAAAAAGTACAAAAATATATAAATAAAATAATAATAAAAAGTAAAAATAATATATATATATATATAATAAATAAAAACATAAAAAATAGTAAATATATAAATAAATTAATAAAACAGATATATATATATATATATATGTAATCTAAAAAATAAAAATATATACTAAAGTAAAAAAGAAAATGCATATAATGTAAAAAAATATTACATGAAAAAAAGAAAAGAAAAATAACAAAGCAATTAAACAAAATGAGTAATAAGGGAAATGTGCGTATAAATAAAGGTAAATAAATAAAATAATAATAATTAAAACGTAAATGTAAGGGACCAAATTAAAAGGAAAAACAAATCAATGGAAAAAATTCGAAGAAAAAAATTGATTTAGGGGGAGAATTGAATATTTAAAAATAAGAACACGCCTCGGGGGTAGATCTAGGTTCGAAACTTCGAAACCCCACCTCTTTTTGGTCATCGGCGTAACCCACGTTTTGGGTTATTCGAACCAAATCTCAAGAAAAATAACATGCACATGCGAGAAATGAACGAATCAAGGTAAAAAAGATGATACCTTTTATTTCCTTTTCGAATCGTTTACAATAGCTTTGCCTTTGTATTTTTTCATGTTTTCCTCTATATTTTGTATGTAAATCGTGTGTTACAATAGTGAGTTACAATGACTATTTATATTGCTTCTGAATCCTATTTTTAGGAGTTTGAATCATAGTAGAACTCTATCATATTTTTAGAAGTCTATCATATTTTTAGAAGTTTGAATCCTAGTAAAACTCTATCTTATTTTTAGGAGTTTGAATCCTAGTAAAACTCTAACGCTATGTTTATTTTATGAATCCCACTAAATTAGGGTTGTTGAGAGTGTTGTACCCGGGCTAAAAAGTGTATTGATAGCTGCCCCTCTTTGCCCATAGTCGTATAACGGGGATAGGGCAAAGATTAAAAGACACACTTTTCGTTCGATGGAGTTGAAAATTGACTATGATGTTTTAATAACTCCCTGTCAAATTGAGTTGCAGATGACTCCTCCGTCATGAAGTCGAGTTCATGATATGAAATTGAAGTCGTAGTTCGGAATTTGAATCGGCACATAGCTTCTCATTACCCTTCGGTCTTCTTCTTGGATCGGAATCGAACTCAGAAATCTTCGTTGACATATAGCTTTTCTTGACTTAAGCTATGTTGTTTGAAAATGGTTGCTTGTCACTAAGGCACGGCTAACCCAGGTTTTCTTCTCGACTTGAAAACTTTGACTGCAACCGGAAAGTAGTGTGATTGATTTGTCATCGAGCTGAATGTAATCGAACTCTAAGGTCTTTGATGACTGATAACCCTTCTTGCCTTGAGTTATGCTGCAAATGATGTGTCTTTAAGCTGAGCGTAGTCGAACTCGAAGGTCTTTGTTGACAGATAACCCTTCTAGCCTTGAGTTATATTGCAAATGATGTGCCCTCGAAGCTGAGTGTAATCGAACTCGAAGGCTTTGTGTTTCAAGAGAAACATTTTCAAATGTTTTTTTTTCAAGAGAAACTGTCTCAAGGAAGGCAAAATTTTGTTTCAAGAGAAATATATTCAGAGATCGGTGTTTCAAGAGAAACTGTCTCAAGAGAGACAAAACTTTGTTTCAAGGGAAACTGTCTCAAGAGAGACAAAATTTGTTTCAAGAGAAACTATCTCAAGAGAGACAAAACTTGGTTTCAAGGAAAACTGTCTCAAGAGAGACAAAATTTGTTTCAAGAGGAACTGTCTCAAGAGAGACAAAACTTAGTTCCAAAAGAAACTGTCTCAAGGAAGACGAAATTTGTTTCAAGGAAAATATATTCAAAGATTTTGTTTCAAGGGAAACTATCTCAAGAGAGACAAAATTTGTTTAAAGGGAAACTGTCTCAAGAGAGACAAAACTTAGTTCCAAAAGAAACTGTCTCAAGGGAGACGAAATTTGTTTAATGTAAAACATATTCAAAGATTTTGTTTCAAGAGAAACTGTATCAAGAGAGACAAAATTTGTTTCAAGGGAAACTGTCTCAAGAGAGACGAAGTCTTATGTTTTGAGAGAAACTATCTCAAGCGAGATAAAATCTTCTTTAAAAATAGTCTTGAGTGAAATGAAATGCATTCTTTCGAGTGAAAACGGTCTCAAGCGAGACAAATCTTGTTTTAAGAAAAACAATCTTAAGTGAAATAAATCTTCTTTCGAGTAAAACAATCTCAAGTGAGACAAATTATGTTTTAAGAAAAGCAATCTCAAGTGAGATAAATCATCTGCATTAAATGAAACTATCTCAAGCGAGACAAAATTTATATTGGAAATGTTGAATCTGAAGATGAATGTCGATATTTCAATCTGTCGATTTGGTTGAAGTGTAGCTTCTTGCTGCTAAGTTAAGTAACAACAATCAACCTTTAAAGGTGCTTTTGAATCGAATATCCTTCATCTTGAAGTCGAAACTTGACTCTAAAAGCTGCAAAAATTATGTATGTGATAAATGTGATGCTCTTAAGTATGTCTAACATGAATTAGGATGGAGCCTCATTTTTGTCTGCTGATCTAGTCCTTGGGATCGATCGTGCCCTATTTGCTTCACGAGCTTTGGCTTTACAGACCTTTTCATGTCTAGACTGTTCTGTTTGAAAATGTTTTTCCCTTTTTCTTGTTTTATGAGGGAAAATGATAAAAAATGATGTACAATATTGTTCGCAATTGAATCAAATTATAAACATGAGTTCAAAGAATATTAAAGGAATCAATATCTCTTTTAATGCTTTCAGAGTTACATCTCTTTGAAAAATGTTCAAATGGATAAGTTGGCTTTAGCTTGGCCTCCTTTCTAAGGTTTCGGTAACCCAAAATGTCATTTTTTTTGAAATATGAGCAACATTCTTTTTTGGTTTGGCATTTTAATTGGGTGCGGACAAAATGACGTAACTAGCATGATCAATTACTAGATCTTTTATTCCGGTCCTCTGAAATCTTCCATTTGTTCAAGTTTTGTAAGCACATCTAACAAAGGTAGTGTAGAAATATCGGTCTAAAAATGAAATTCTTGAGTGCTCGTGTGAATTTGACTATAACAGGTATTCCTTAACTCCCTTAGTCCATCATTACCGAAAATTTCTTGCTTAGATAAATTTGATTTAACTTGCCGTTTTCTGCCTAGCTGAATCCATAAAGCCGGGGCGTTTAACCAATTGCTTTAGAGGGACAACTTAATATTATAATCACTTTTATCAAGTTAACTGAAGAGTTCATCTCATCATATAGTCTTCGGCCTGACAAAAGCAGTGGATCAAAC